AGTGCAGTGGTAAACGTGGAGGCTGCTTCTGCAGTTACCAGAAGCGGCAGTGTACAGTTGTGGCAGCAAAAGGAACCAACCATCTGAATCAGGCAAGACTGCTTTGAGTTTACAGGGTCACACCGCCCAAACTGGCCCTACTTGGCACAGAAAGGGCATAATAAGCCAACGTTTCTATATGTACTTGGAACATGGTTAGTTTAAAACGCCAAAGAAACCGCAGCTCTGGAAAGACCCTTTGGCCAATTGCCAGACAGCCATTCACATGGGCCCCATGGCATATTTTTTTTTTTTTTTATCCTCTAGCAGCATGAGAGGATCTTCGCTGAAAGCCTTGCAGATGCAGTTTGTGTCTCTTCCCCACCAGACACAGAGGATGGGCTCTAACAGTAAATGCCTTAATTGCAGGTATGACTCTTCGAAACTGCACATTTGCATCGAGTCCCGGGTGAGCAAGTTATTATCAACATCAGTTCGATGAAATGAAATTCTTAACCTACCTGGGACAAGCGTGGGAACAGGTAAGATCCCCAAATTTAGAAGTGTCCTAAACCTCAGCAATCAAGTAAGTGATTTTTAAATAAACAGCAAAATGTTTTGAGAACCTTGCACTTTAAGTAGCAGCCCAATGGCTTGGGGCAGGAGGGATTGCACTTCGGGGGACTGTTGGGGGTGGGGGAGAGGGGTGAGACCTCAAGATTCAGGGAGTGTCAGGCAGTGGAGTCACTTTGATTTGCCGGCTTCTTTGAGGGATAGGGCCAGGCTGATAGATACTCAGGGCAAGAAGAGCACATGGCCTGGCTAAGTAAGCTGCGCCCTCCTCAGCTGCCGATCTCCTCCAGCCTGTAGTTGAGGTTAAATAAACGTTGCTGCACTGCAGCCTCCGGTCTCTTATCTCCAGATCACGTGGACCCCGGAGATGGACGCCAATTGCCTAAAGTCCACGCCACAGCCATCGCCTTCCAGTCTATGATGAGCAGGAAAGTCAAATCCCAGGTGAACCGAGTGCTCTCACTCAGCGCCCCCCTCCCCCCCAGCACAGGCTGGTCTTAGAAAGGGAATTGGGCGAAGTTGCCTAGAGCTGGAGCCACAGGGCAACTAGGGTCCCCTGCAGTTCTGAATGTTCAGGGCCCTGTCCTGTGGTTTTGGCTGGGACAGACGTTCTTGCTTCTTATGAACCACATGAGTTCGCTGACAGTGTGCTTGGGCACCAACCCAGGCCCTGGAAGCACAGGCTGGGACCTCTCTGCCGCAGCTGCGGTGCGTGCTCTCTACCCAGCACCAGGCAGCGCAATGCTCCAGCAAACGAACTTGCCTCAAAAGCCCATTTAGGGCTGTAGTCAGTCACTTAGCTCCCTGCACTGTTTGTGTCGCGGTGGTCTTTTACTGTGTTTTTACAGAGTCGATCCGGAAGAACTGGAAGGAGGATTCAGACAAGACTTCGGGCCATTTTCGGAAGTAGTTGCCTGTTTGCGGATGTCCCTATTGCCCTTGGTTTCTGCCTTCCAACCCCAGCTGCTAAGTGGCACCCTCTGCTTCATACCTGGCCCAACGCCCAGGCTCAGTTCCTGCGGACTGTCAGCTAGACCTAAGCAGAATCTGTCCCAGCAGCTCCCGGCAGAGCATTCAGATATCATTCGTTAAATCAGGGATTTTGGCAGAATGCGGGTCGCCCATTACTCCCTGGACAGTTTCGGGGATTGACTAAACTCTTGAGTTCTGGAGGCTGCAAAAGAGAATTTTCTAAAATCCGTGTCTTACTTTAGGGGGCATTGTCCGGTCCTTCTAGACAATATCAGAATCTTAAATGTCTCTCTCAGCTCTGAAGCTCAACTGTCTGTGGCGGTCTCAGCACTTTTATGTGGTCCCAATTTCTGCGTATATTCCAGAACTATCTGTTGTCTTCGCGATTAAGAGTATGCAGCTTAAAATCGAATAATTAAAACGCTGCCTTGTTTTGCTTATGTAGAGTAATCGATGTTATTTATCATTGGCTGTTTTACACACACTGCGGATTTTTATTAACACTCAAAGCTGTCTACCGCTATCAGTAAGTATTAGTCCCATTTTAAAGTAGATGATGAAACTGAAGCTTTGATAGGTTTGGGAAGCCTACAAAACGCCACCGCTATCCCATGTTAAAAGTCATGACTCAAAGCTTTCTTCAAGTCCAATGCCTTTTCCAGTATCTGAAAGCAGCCTGAACACACAGCCTGTCATCAGCCTGGGCAGGGTCGAGGGAAGTGTTAATGGGATTGCTTTGTTCTAGCTCCATGGGTGGTTTTATGTGTTAACTCTTGCTCCCAGAGGGTTTTGCAGGGACCTCAGAATTAGTTACTCTCAGCTCCTTGAGGTGGAAGGTTTGAATTACTCTTTGGTAGCACCTTTCTGCCGGCACTAACTCCCTATCTTATAACAACGCATTGATTTGCAAAGACAGAGAATTAAGAGGAGGAACAGTTTACCAGGACAATAACCCTGCGGCAATGTTTCATTCCCTGTAGTGATGGTTTCAGCACCAACAAGATGCATAGCTTAGGGACACCCAAGTGACTCACCTCTGGCCCCTGCTTTTGTTTAAGTGTTCATTTCAATTCCTCTAGTTTGCCTTCTCCTCCCACTTGTTCAGCCTCCCCTGCTTTTGAGCGATTTCCTGTCCACAAAAGCCATAGCATCGGCTAAGGAAGCACTTGTGAGAACGTGGACAGTGAATTCAGCAATCCGGCTTTCCTGGACTCTTACCAGTTTCCTTGAAAAGTATCTCTCAGGGTGCAGTTCCAAATGTAACTAAAAGTCATTAAAGTAATAAAGGCAGTACTTTCCCTTCCCTTATATAAGATGAAATAGGACATTTTATCAATTGAGGTATAAATGACACAGCAAGTCATTGAAAAAGAGATACAGCTAACAAAACCTGCAACATTAGTTGAATTATAACAAAGTCAATTAACACACACACTCTCTCTCCCTCTCAAATAAAAACCCAGCTTGAGAGAAATCCATCTTCCTTGACAACCCTTAAAAATTCAGACATGAAGCAAGACAGTATGAACCTTGCAATAAGAAGGAAATGTTACCTTGATTGGGATATTGTACAAAAGGCCAGGAGAGATGGCTCAGCAGCTAAAAGCTCTCCTGGAAGAGTTCAAGTCCAGCACCCACATGGAGGATTTACAATAGCCTGTAATTCCAGCTCCAGGGGTTCTGATATTTTCTTCTGGCTACCACTTGCATGCACGCATGTGGTACGCACCCACATACAGCACAAACAAGTTAGTAAATAATAAAAAAATCAAATATACATTTTATACAGGGACACATATCTCTCCCTGCATGTACCTTCTAAGGTACTGCCATCTGGTCTTAGCCCTCTTAGGAACTCCTCCGTAGCCACAACTACAGAGCCTGGGTCTGACTTTAACCCTGACTACTCGGAGTGTGAGGCTGGAGCCTCAGGCTCTTGGATCTTGGGGCTCTTTCTAGCCCAGATTCTGCTCTGTCAGTCTTTTAAAAGTGAGAGATGGCCAGACAAGGAATAAACAAACAGCTAGCATGAAAATTCTGCCATTTTACTAATTTTGAATTTCCCCAACATTAACACTTTACATTTGGACAGAGACGTGGAAAGGAGGAACCTTGACAGGGTGGCCAGGCCAGCCTAAATTAGAACTTCCTCAGATGCCAGCATTTTGTTTACATGGGATGCTCTTAATAGTTATTTGGGCTTTCTTGTTCTTCTGTAACTTTGCTCCAGGAGCTGGGAAGAGGATGGTGCCAGAGACTGGGGTATTTGTGGGATTGTTTTGTTTTCGTTCTTTCTTTTCCCCCACCTTAAGATCCACCAAGAGGTTCCTAATCGCCAGACCAACTGGCTGGAAGGGAGAGCAAATATTTACAAGTATAGCTTGACAGTGTGTGTGTTCTCTAGAGTTTACATGGCTGCTAGTGAAGCGGATTACCCTACGAATTCGGAGAATTTGGGTTATTTAGACTGATCAGGGCCAACAGAACTCCTTCCACAAGGCCATGGCAAGTCCTGGCCCTAGCCAGGTCTGCAAGGCAGATGGTTCCATGAAAGCCAGAATGCTGGAAAGGTCAGGCTCTCCCACTGAGCTTAGCCCATGGTCCCTACAGGGCTCCCTGCCCTGCCATGGTCTTTGCTTCAGGCCACTGGCCTACTTTTCATAGTCCCTCTTCAGAATAGAAAACCCAGCCTAGAAGCAACCAGTGCACAGCAGAAGCCCAAGTTCGCAAAAAGCATCCTTCCTACACAATCCCTACAGCTCAACTTTTCTTTCCCAGGGATATGCCTTTCCAGCTCTCTGTGAATGTAGATATAACTTGGGGGCCTTCAAGTAGAGTCCCTAACATTGGGGACTGTGCGGTGTCGTTACTAGGTTAATGCCACTCAGCGATGCGGTATTTGCCCTACTCTTCTCAGCTATTCGAGAACGTGTGTACGCCAGTAGCAAAGAGTAGAATAAGCAGAACTTGGTGGGGCTTCCTTTGGTGGCGTCGAATACTGCACCATCGGATACTGCACCAAGCGACCATCCCTGGTTCTGGGCGACAGTGAAAGTGCCTCTCCAGGCATCGCGTGCCGCCTTCCCGCGGGATCTGAGAGACCCGGCTAAGGTGGCAGAGGCTGCTGAGTCGCCCTGTTGGTGGTAGTATTTGCTGTGAGGAGTGCCCAGCTCTCCTCCCGAGCGCCTAGGCAAGAGGGCAACGCGCCCCCAGGCGCTCCCTCCAGGCGCCGCTTGGCTCCGCCCCACGCCGCACAGCCAGGAAACGGTGACGTGAGACCACGCTGACTGGCTGAAGTGGGCAGGGACAGCCACCGCCAGCAAATTAAGGAGCGGGGCAGTGGGCGCCCAGGCGCAGTGTAGATCGCGCCTTGCTGCGCTCTGCTCAGTGGCGATCAGGCTCCCTGGTTTCCGCAACCTCGAGAGTACCACAGCCGGTCATCACATCCCGGTGGCTTGGGACACTCCTCGATCCCTAGCAGGGGTGGAAGGGGGAGACTCGGCGTGGGTGCTGGACACCCCGCGTTTTGTACATTTAATGTTTGGAGTGCACCGTGGCTTGCACACAGTTTTGAGTTCGCTGCTGGTCCCCATCCTGCTTTCCCGCTGGTTCGAAGTCTCTGTGGCTTCCCGGCTTTGCTCCAAGGGACTGGAGAGGCCAGCGTGGAGCCTTGGGGACGTAGGAACGGACTCTTCAGGAGCCCTCAGTTCCGCTCTTACTGAACTCGGAAACTCTGAGCTGCGTTTCGGGTCGTTGTCTCCCTTGGGAGAAGCTGGACTGTGGTTTGGCAGGCCCGGTCCCAGACGAGGACCGCACGCTGGGGACCATGGAGTTTACAGCATCGCCTAAGCCCCAGCTCTCCTCTCGAGCCAATGCCTTCTCCATTGCCGCGCTCATGTCCAGCGGTGGCCCCAAGGAGAAGGAGGCAGCAGAAAATACCATCAAACCCCTGGGTAAGTCGGGATGCTAAGCTGTCCACAAGGGCTGTGCTTCTCTAAGTCCCTTGGCTACTGGCAGTTTGCTCCGTGGGGAGCTAGGGTGGCCTTTTCTCCCAGCCAGATCTGCTTCTAAGTCTCAAACTATGGACCAGATATAGATCTGGGGAGGGAGGTATTTCGTTTTTTTTTTTTTTTGAGGGGGGGGGCTTCACTGTCAATTAAAGGTCGTGGGAATCCAGCTTGTGTTTGTATTCGCTCTCCCCAGTTTTCTGGAATCCCGAGGTCAAGTAGATAGTGTGTAAATTTGAATGAAAACAAATTCAAGGACAAATAAGTTTAAGACGCAGGATCCACGGTGCATATAACACCTGAGCATGCATTTGGAATCGAAGACACTGAGCGACTATACGAGAAAGCAGTTTAATTTTTCCACCACAACAAACAGCCTTAACATCTCTACAAAGGGCTGTAAAACAAGCCAGTCTTCCATTCATCAGCCGCTTTCTCCAAAGAAGCTCCAGGCTTATCAGTAACCATCATGCACACTTGCCATTTTCTGTCGAGGTTAACAAAAAGGCTCCCCAAATCCCTCCAGGTTTAGTCACACTGCTTTTGCAAAAACTATTTTCTTTATAGAGGATACTAGGATCATATTAAAGAGAGAAGAGATGAGGTTTCTTTGAGCACACTTGAGTTTTATGAAATATAAAAACGAATGCCCTTGACAAGTTCTGAAGTGACCACCTTACAACCCTTACAAAAGGAGTTGTCATTCACTCTAAGGTCTTTGGGAATAATTACTGCACACCCTATTCTTAAAATACTGACATAAATCAAATTGGCAACTTAAGGTAAATTTTTAAAAATTTACTAATTTTCCTTTCTTTCTGTTTTCCCAACTCTAATGTACACACTGGAGCAGTAGAAAACTAAAGTGCAAAACAACTTGAAACCAAGGAGAGAGTGCTGGTTCCCGGGAACAGTGTCAAAGCATGGACTTTGCAGTCTGAGCTGCCTTCCACCTGGTTCTCCCCACTTCCATCTCAGGCAAAATCTGCAAAAGCAAGTGAGCTAGCCGCTAGTTTTACACATAGTATTGGGTACTAATTTGAAAACTGGACTGCTGAGATGTGGTATCAGTTCAGTACCCTTCCTACTTTGGGGGATTCTTTTTGAACACCTCCATCTCATTTTGATACCCAGTAGGAAAAGAAGATCTCAGATCAAAATTCTTGACAGACTTGAGCAATGAGCTGGGAAACTTGCCAACTCTGCCTCTAGCATGTAGACATTATTCTTTTCTTTAATTTTTCTAAGAAAATCCCCCTTCAACCAAAATTACAAATTCTAAATGCTAAGCCAATCCCAGCTATCAACCTCCCCCAGCTACTTCAGGTTCCCAATGGAGATTGTTCTACTGTTTGGAGAATAGCTCTTATCCATTGCTTTCTTAGCCATTCGCCACTCCAACAGAGCACAGTAAATAACTAAATTGAAGACTTGGCAACAAAACACCTAAAGGTTCTGTTAAGGGACAGTGGGATGTTTTCGCTGAAAAAACAAAACTGTAATGGGTAGGTTCCAATGTTTCCCATGCTCCACCACTCAAGTATATCAATTCTACTCAAAATAACCACTTGTTTTCCTGTCTTTCTTCTTCACTTCTGTGAGGCTCAGGCCAGATAACACTGAGAGAGCTTACCTGTCAGCTGCTGGAAAGCAGGAGAAGCTTGGGTTGCTTTTAGATTCTCTGTAAATATGTGATGTGAATTTCCTTCCAAAGGGGTTTCAGGAAAATAAGATGTTGGCACTGTCTGGTTCCTTTGATTTGGGAACAACCTACATGACAACTAATTGTCCTTCATTTAAAACACCTTTGTGAGCGGGATTATGACTGTATGGGAAGAAAGGGCAAAACCCTGTTTTCTATTAGCTTCACTTTAAGAAGTATCTCAACAAACTCAAGCACATGGCACACATGTGTGCATGTTCATGCACACAGCTTGAATTGGTTGAGAGCAGTTAGAACATACTGGCCTGGTTGTGGGGTTAGCCCCACACTGCAGATGCAGGTAATTTCTTTTTCAAGAAATGAAAGATAATTGGCCGAGTTTTGAAAACCTCCCCTGGATTCCACCAAAGTTACTGAGGAGGTTCAGCTATACAGAAGAAAATCTGGTTCATAGACATCGATATTCCAACCCACTGGATTCTTCTCTCTTATTAATTTCCTGCTAGACTGGGATTGAAATTGTTTCCCTCACTTCTGGAGCTATTTGGAGGAAAAACAGTTGCATACATTATCTCTCCAGTAATCTGTCCCTGTCCTCAAGCAAACAAACAAACAAGTCTGTTAGAACCCGCCCCTGTTATTTAACAGGCAATGCTGTAATCTTTTCTAGTGCCACCTGTATAGCTGCAAAGCCTAGAACTTGGGATGTTTGTAGTAATATTTACATTTTATCTCCCAAGATCACAACTTTTTCCGTTCTTTATTCTATTTTATTTCTAAGGTAGCTTCAACCACATCCGCAATAGGTCTTGTTTCTATATGGACTTTGCTCATTTGATGCGGTTAGTGTCCAGACCCAGGGATGTCCCAGGTACATTTGCATTGTGATGGATCATTCTTTTCTGCTGGAGTTTTGGAGTTTAGCGGCATCAAATCCAAGAACCTTGTTTTGGGTACATTGCCCAGTTCCTTCCTACAGTGTTAACTAGTGTCAGCAGTCACTTTTCCTTCTCACTGCCTCCAGAACAATTCGTGGAGAAGTCGTCCTGTGCCCAGCCCCTGGGGGAGCTCACCAGCCTGGATGCTCACACGGAGTTCAGCAGCGGGGGCGGCAGCCCTTCCTCATCCTCTCTATGCACAGAGCCATTGATCCCCACCACCCCCATCATTCCCAGCGAGGAGATGGCTAAAATCGCCTGCAGCCTGGAAACGAAGGAGCTCTGGGACAAATTCCATGAACTGGGCACCGAGATGATCATCACCAAATCTGGAAGGTAGTTGGTGTGGGCGGAAGCGGAATGAGCAGAGGGTTTTTACTGTGCTCCTGGGTGCCTGGAGTGGGAGCTGCCGGGCGGGGGTCAGAGCGGTGTCTGAACTCAGAGACCTACGCTTCCCACCCTAGAAACAGTCCTGGAACTGGAAGTTTTGCAATCGCAGGGTCTGGCTGCAAGACGTCACACCTGGAGATGGGGACCTTGCCTCACAGAGCGGTCTTTGCTCCCACCCAGGCGTCTTAGGTTAGGAGCAAGGCCAGGTTGGTAGGAGCTAGGTTTGGGACTACAGGAGCGGGAGGGAGGAGAGGCTGCCTGTTGTATTCGGTCTGCGGAAGCCTCCTGTCTCCTATAAAAACTCAGCCGAAAACCGGGAGTTCTTCCGTCGGGAGGAGGCTCCCGCGGTGGCCCTGGGTGCCGGAGCCCGACAGCTTCGGAGAGTCAGTTCCTGGGCAATTCCTGTCGGGTCTCAGAAGCCAACTCCACAAATCCCTTCCCTCAGGAATGTCCGGGATTTCTGATGGGCTGTGCAACTGAATCATCTCTAGTTATTTGGGAGAAAACAAAACAAGCTAAAAACTTTTACCTACCAGTAGCTCCCCCTCCCCACCCCCAACCCCCCCGTAAAACTGAGAATCATTTTTGCGGGGAAAGTCCTGTCTCTGTAGGCACATCTCCGAGGTTTCATAAGCAAAACACAGCAACAAGCAAAGGGGAAACTGGGAACTACATAGCGGGCGGTTTAAGCTTTCTTCCTTTTTCCCTAATTCCGGTAATCTCTTTACAAAGAGTGAATCCCCCCCTATCTCTTCCCCCCCGCCCCCCGCCAGGAGGATGTTCCCGACCATTCGCGTGTCATTTTCTGGGGTGGATCCTGAGGCCAAGTACATAGTCCTGATGGACATCGTCCCGGTGGACAACAAGAGGTATCGCTACGCCTACCACCGCTCCTCATGGCTGGTGGCTGGAAAGGCTGACCCTCCCCTCCCAGCCAGGTTCGTGCCTTTGGACTTCTTTCAGATTGAAGTAGTATTAACTCTTCCTATTTATGTGAATTTTAAGCAAGGTGTTTTTTAGCACCGGGCTCTGGCATGAGAGATTTCAAAGCCAGATACTGCAGGCAGGACTGAATACAAAACATGTTAGTCTTCAAGAAGGGTGAAGTTAGTGCACAGAGAAAAATTGCCTTTAATTTTACTTCTCAAAATTAATCCCAGATATTTGTGAAGTTTCAGTTTGAATATTTGTTAGAAATGTGACCTTTTGGAGATATATGTGTATTTCTGACATGGTGTTTAAGTATAAATAAATGTGCTGCTAGTTGCCCTATGTGCAGTATATATATGACATTTTTAGTTATTTGTTAAGTGATTATATCCGCATATAGTTAGTGTTATTTGGATAAAACTAGTTGGTTTGGACGCACAGAAGACTCATACGTTTTAGGTAAGGACAACAATTATTTCTTCCTATCCCTCCAGGATTTTGATGGATAAACATAATTAGTTAATACTATTTTGCATTAAATATAGATAATAAATTGAAGACAATGCAGCCTGTTTCCTTGGTTGCCTTTGCTAATAAAGTTTTTAAGTCATCTCCATGAACCTTTCCTGTGAACATTCAGGAGGAATAGTGAACTAGCTGAAGTTACAGGAGTCTGTCTGCAGATGTTGATATAAAGCCAATGGGATGTGCTGACTCCTTCGTTTTGAATAAGAAAATGCATGTTTCATGACTAATTTTTGGTAATTGATTGAAGTTAGATCACAGATTAACATTCATTTTAATGTGCAGATTTAAGATCCTTGAAGGTGTGACTGGTTCTTGGTAAGCATCTAGTGTGCAGGCACAGACCCCACAGATTCAGCAGATAGTGAGGCGGTGGACACATTTCTGAAAGAGCATCTGCTTCACTAGCACATTGTTGGGTTTTGAAGCTTGTTCCAAGTCAGCATATTAAACAAATACTTGTAAATGGCAATTTGTTCTTCTAAGCGAAAAAAACAATACTTTATAACAAATATTAAAACTAATAGAATTGGTGTTTTCTATTATTTACTTCTGAAAAGTCATTTTTTTTTTTTGAGACAGGATATATATTAGTTTAGTCTGTCCTCAAATTCCTGGCCCTCCTGCTACAGCAGCAGGCAGACTGCTTGCATTATGACTGGGCTCAAACTGCGCACTTTCTACTTTTTTTTAAACAAGGATTTCAAGGAGAAAAGAGAAGGGGAGCAGGCATGAATCTGAGCAGATTCCTAACCATTTTTCTAAGCACACATTCATTTTCGCTTTCTCTAGTCTTTTATTTATCCCCCATTTTCTTCCTCTCTGAAGGTATGGCCAAATGCTTCAGACCAGCAGGACCAGACTTCATAAATATGACATACTTGTTTGTGTTTCTAATCTGTTCTGGTTAGAGAAAGAAAAGTGCCTACCAATGTGCTATCTTAACTGAAGCATGTGTAAGCTACAGCAGGAATTTTAGGTCGGGAGGAAGGGGGTGAGGGAGGAGAGGGTTTCTGTATGTCATTTCATGTATCCTGCTTTGACTTATTTAAACTAATATTAGATAAAACCATGAAATCGAGATATTTCAGATAATTTGTGAAAATTTCTGGTTGTTATTATTATGGAAAATAGTTTCCTAGATTTTCCCCCTCCATAGAGAGAAAGGAACTTGGGATATTAGGAAGCTTGAGCTGATGGTAGAAAGTCAGTTTCTAAGAAACTTCTAAATCTAAGAAGCCTCTCTCTCTCTCTCTCTCTCTCTCTCTCTCTCTCTCTCTCTCTCAGACTGATCATTGATGTCTCATCAGGAAACACAATACTTGATAATATTATTTGGTAGTTGTAACAGGCACAACATTATTCATGACCAAAAGTAATGCTACACTCCAATACCACTACTGTAATTTATGCTTAAATAAGTTCATATCTATGCTAATGTGATTACATATAGTGAATATGATAAAGGAAAAACATGTCATCAATTTCTATATCTTTTAGTAAATTAGGATTCTAGGAGAGAAGGGAGATGTGATACTGATCAATGAAATACTAGCATTTATAAAGTAATACCTTTGGAGAGATAACGATATGCTGTTGCATTCAACTATCAAAGGATACTCTTATTTACAAGGCACTTAAGAGCACCTTCAGGAAAACAATGAAGGAAACATGCTCTTGAGGCCTGCGGAGTTCCTCCGTGGGTGGGGTGGGGCTCTGGTACTATCAGTCTTGCTGTGCTCCACTCCTGACCTGTTTCATACAAGGGTATAGATTCGTCCCTTCTAGGTCTTTCGGTATGCTAGATCGTGGCACAGACTTCTCATTCTTTACCCAAACAGTGCCAGTAATGTTTGTTCTACAGCCTTTTATTTCTTGCTTTTTTTCCCCAGCAAAACTATTTGTAAATTCTAGCTATAAGGGTGGTATGTAAAATGTATACATAAATAAGTTGACATGTGGGTAAAGGAATTTGTCAGGGCTGTTGATATAATTCCTTGATACAAGGTGAGTTTAGCATGCATCAAGCCCAAAAGTCAATTACCAGCACAGAATCAAAAACAAAAGAAGACAAGAAAAAGAAGAAAAGAAAAACCAAAGAAGAATCGGAAAAAGTAATCTGTCTCAAGAAAAAGATTGCATCTTCTCATTCATTCAGTCATCTCACTTCCATTTTGAAGGATTTTCTGAGGAAGACAGCAGGGTTAAGGTTTACAAAGTGCAGGCTGGAGAGATGGCCCAGCGGTATAGGCTAGGCTCACAACCAAAAATATAAGATTTACTTAGTGCGACAACAGGGGTGGATGAGGGTGCTGGCCTTTCTTTTACAGTGAGTGTGTACTCCATAGCAACTAATCAATAAACAATAGATTTTTCTTGCCAAAGCTTTTTTTTCTTAAGCTTTTTATAAATGAGCCAATTTAATAGCCAGGAGTTCATTTAGATTGCTAAAACTCTCCTTTAGCAGTACATAAACAGATGGCAATGGCCTGTGTGTTGGAGTGAGCAGGACAGTAAGCTCTCATTTCTGATCTGTAGACTAGAAAACACTCACTGCTTCCTGTATTGAAAATGAGCCAGTCTTGTATTAGCAAATTAAATGGAGTCACTTTAAAGTTTAAATGAGTTGACTCTCTAAAATTATTTCCTCATTTAATTGTTTCTTTTCATCACTTTACAGTAATGCCTATATTAGAAACTGTAACAGTTTTTTTTAAAAAAAATGCCTCCATTAGTAAGATCATGTATTTGATAAATGTAGATCACTAGACTGCAAAGAAGAAAGAAAAAGAAAGAGAGAAACAACTTATCCATGAAAAATAGCTTGCTCAGCACATAATAGGAAATGTACCCATTACTCCTAAGATCTTTTGGACATGCAGAAGTATGTTAGATGCTTTGGAGTTATCTCAGCACTGCTGTTTTAGTAAATTCAAGGTACATGGGACAAATGAAATGTGTGCCTTATATGATGTTTACTTGTGTCTTTAGAATCAAAACATTTAGAATAAAGAGCAAATTTTGTTGTGCTTTGATCCAGGATCCCACGATGTAGCTCAGGCTGGTTTCAAAGTCTTAAATCTCCCTACCTCAGGCTTCTGAGTGCTGAGATGATAAATGGGTGTGCCAATATTCTTACTTCAAGACAGAGTCTTAAAACACACCTCAGTAAAGCTCTCTGATACTCTTTTTAGGCTCTATGTGCATCCAGACTCTCCTTTTACTGGTGAACAGCTCCTCAAGCAGATGGTGTCTTTTGAAAAGGTGAAACTTACCAACAATGAACTTGATCAACATGGCCATGTAAGTATAGAGCCTTGGATCCACAGGATCCCCTAGATTCATTGGACACATTGTATGAAATACCTTTTCTCCTTTCCCTGTCTTCCCCCCACCCTGCCGGCTTCTTCTGAACTTCTTGCTATCTGTCTCTGAGTCATTGTATGAGAACACTCATATGTTCTCCGGGGACAAAGGGGGGGGGGAGGGGCGGCGACTTGACTGCTTTTGTTAGTCATTCATGAGGATGTCCCTTGGCACTGTGTACAAGGTGGCCTGGGGTCTTCTGTGCCAAGGATCCCCTAACATGTTTGCAAACACTTTGCCACATTTTACAACAAAGGAAACGTGCATTTGGAGAGAGGCCAGCAAACATATTTTTGGGTGAAGCCTCTTATGTATGTTAGTATATTAATAATATCTCATAAAAAAGGACTAACACTTCCTGTGGAAGCCTCATAAGTGCATTCTTCAGAGCGCATCATGTGATTGAGGTGCAGCAGAGTGAGAAGGCCTCATTTTCAAATAAGCCTCCAAAGCTGTTGACTCACATTTCATTTTGTGTCAGTAAAGAGTTCATTGTAATATGGGAAAAATAGTTGGTTGGGGAAAAAAGAGAAAATACAGTTTGGAGTGTCTATCAGTAGTTGATAGAGTAAATGGCCATTGACAAAAAGGCCTTGTCATTTGCTAAGTTCCTTGTTAGGGCATTGTCTGTGATGTGATTGAATGTTCCTGTGTGTTCCTGTGTGTGTGTGTGTGTGTGTGTGTGTGTGTGTGTGTGTGTGCCTGCGTGCACTCACACGCTCACATGTATGTGCGAGCACATGTGCATGTGTGTGTATCCACATATGACTGTAGGTGTGTGTGCCCATGCCATACATACCAAGGACAGACGTGGGCATCTGGTGTCTTCCTTTACCTCTCTTCACCTTACTATATTAAGACAGGATCTCTGCCCCAACCAGAGCTTGCTGTCTCAATCAGCCCATGAGCTCCTTGGATTCTCCTCTCTCTGTCTGTGCTGGGGTTGCAGGTATACACAGCCGTGCCAAGCTTTTATATAGACTCCGGGGATTTGAATTTAGGACCTTCTGCTGTCAGGATAAGCACTCTTACTCACTGGGTCACCTCCCAAGCCCTGTGATTCAATGCTCTTAAGTAGAAATATATCTACAAATTCTCTTTTAGACTTTAATGTGAGAAACTCAAGGCAGATTTTCATGATTCTTTTGGAGAGATTATTTCTGTGTTTTTGCCTTTATTGTTGGAAAGAACAGGACTTTTTTCATAGTTTCTTACTTGGATTAGAAATCCTTGGATTATTATTATAGTTGTATAATAATTATATATTTTCTCTTATATTTTTACTAAATAAGGTTCTTGTGACTTTAGGGCTTAGTTTTTATTGGATCTGAAATATAGAGGAAAATGACTCTAAATAGACAATAAATAAAAAAGTTATAGAGATGGTTTCAAATAGTTGGATTGAATCTAGAACTAAATAAATGATTTGAGCCTATGTCCCTATCCTTGGCCCCCAGGAGACTTTCCTTGCTTACTACAGCCACATAAGGGTGACCAGATTGTAGTGTTGAAGAGACACTGAGCGTAGGCTAAGTACCTTCTGTGGGTTCATCTGGTGGAAAGACAATAGACATTTTCAGTGTTGGCCTAATTTGACATTTAAGAAAAATAGATGTTTCCACTCAGTGGATATTATGTCAGGTTAAGATTTATGAACTATCTGGGATATTCTTTGTAGGTCAGTCATCATTCCTATTTAATGTGATGCATATTAAAATATTTTAGGTTTCAACTGAAATCTTTGCAGAAATAAAGTACAGTTATAAAAATTTCTCTTGCCTTTTTCTACATGTGAAAGTTTGAGAATTATATGACAGTCACCAGAAAGACTATAGACTTTAAATGGTAAAATATTTAGCCAGAATTTAAATGGTTTATTTTAGCATCAGCTTCAAGGGTAGTTGGACTTCAAGAATTGTGAGATCTAGCCCAATTGTGTGGCAATAGATCTTGTCAAATTGTTCAGTTGTTGGTGGCTGCTTATATTTACTTTAGCCTTTAAACCTATATGATTTAGTGTTACCCTTTGCCAGCAGAATTAGTGTTCTCTGAAACTGAGAAAGGAGGGTTCTTAGGTACTTCATTATTTAACCAGCTTCTTGGAAGCTCTCTCTCTCTCATCTCCCTCTCTCTCAATTTTATTTTTATTTTATGTGTGCTGGTGTTTTGTCTGTGAAAGGGTGTTGGATACCCTGGAACTGAAGTTGCAGACAGTTGTGAGCTGTCATGTGGATGCTGGGACTGAACACTCTTCTGTAAGACCAGAAGAGTGTGCTTTGTGCTTTCTCTCTCTCTCTCTCTCTCTCTCTCTCTCTCTCTCTCTCTCTCTCTCTCTCTCTCTTCACAGATGTACTTTTTAGTCTCTGACAGGAACATCCACTATTCCCAGGAAGGTATTTCCTCAGGAAAACAGAGTTTGCGTTTCTGTTGGTAGTTCCTAGCTTTGTGAGGGCTGCAGCAGTCAGCAGGTCTTGGAGTCTGAGGTTGTTCTGTACCCTTTACCAAAGGAAACAGACTGGGAGGGCTGGGAGTGGGAGGGAATGCTATCTCAATGTTCTTATATCTTCTTAGTTGAACATATAAGGAATGCTGAAAAACATTTTATATTAGGAGACAAATATTTATTTTTGTTACTTCAAGTTGGCTCGAGGTCTATGATCAAGTCTCTTTGTCTTGGACTCCTTGGAGGAAGTACATTATACAGAGGAATGATGTTCTTTTTCAAAACTTATTTGGAGATTTCTTTCTGCTTTGTTGCTTTCCCTCTGGTCTGAGAACTGAAAGAGTGACAGAGAGACACTGACTATGTGGTTAGTTGTTCTCTCATTTGTATGGAGATTGGTTCTAAAGTGTACTGTAAATAGGGAAGCCATGGCTCAAGTCACTTATATAAAATGGAACACCATTGGCATATAGTTCCTCTCTATTGTGAATAGTATGTAGGCTACTGGTAATAGCAAGAATCATTTAGGGAAAATGTATATATGTAGGGAAAAAAGTATATATGTTCAGTATAGGCACAATATTTTTGATCTAAGTTTGTTAATTTTCTTTTTTCTTTCTTTCTTCCCTTTTTTTTTAAATAAAGAAAATGGTTTCTCTATGTAGACCTGGTTGTTCTGTAACTCACTATGTAGATCAGGGTGGTCTTGAACTCAAACTCACAGAGATCCACCTGCCTCTGCCTTTGCCTCCTAAGTATTGGGATTGAAGGCATGCACCACCATGCCTGGCCCTATTTAAGGTTGTTTAAATCTGCAGATGGGCCATCCAAAGATGCAGATGTCTACTATGTATCTATTACCCTCAGTATCTAGTGGAGAGTTTGTAAACACACTCAGCAGAAACTCTCCCTCCTGACCATATACATTCACATTAGTCAAGAAAGCAGGGGCCCTTCAGTCGCCATGTCAGCATAGCAAACATCACCTAGTGGGCACATTACAAGGTTTATGGGGTGCTTCCTGAGGCCAGGGCATTTTAAAGGTGTTTGAAGAGAGGATACAGCTGATCCCCCAATTCCAGAAAAGGCTGACTGGTTTTTTACATTTAAGTAGCTGTCTGCCAGTACTGACACATGGGAAACATTTTATATTTAAAAATGAGTTTGGCTCAGTCAAATGTGGTAGCTCATGCTTGTAATCCTAGCACTCAAGAGGCAGAGAAAGGAAAATTTCCAAGGTTTATGGACCAGCCTGGGGTATGAAGTGAAATCCTGCCTGGAAAAAAACACATAAGTGAGCAAACAAGGACAAAAATGTTTTGTTGCTCATTTTGTACAGTGACAAAATATTTATATTTTAGTTATAGGATAAATGAGAATGCTATCTCTAGCTGCCTGTTTAACCAAGATATATTTATAATTGCCAATAATTTGCAACTTTTGGTAGCTATAGAATGAAAGATGGCCATGCATTTATTAACTTTTAGTTTTAAAACTGGAAGTTAGTGGTCAAAGAAATTGTAAGTTTTCTTTCCCCCCCAAAAAACAGTTCCTATTTTTGAACACTTCCTATTTCCTGTGTGCTTTACAAGGGTTACAGTCTTTAGGGACTGTCGAAATGTTTCAGTGGTTAAAGAACATTCCTTTCTGTGCCTCAAGAATCTGAGCTCAGACCTTAGCCCACATCAGGCACTTCTCAAACGCCTGTAGTTCCAACTCAAAGGGATTTAGTGCCCTCTTCTGGCCTCCATGGGTACCTGAACAAATGTGTGTGCACACAAATAATAAAAAGTAAAATTAAAAGTCACATCCTCTATCCTCATTATGGCCTTGTGAAGCTGACATCATGTTTGCATTTAAGGTTGCCTAGGTTGGAGAGGTTCACTCACTTGGCCAAGATAAAGGGCTATGAAGTGGAAGTTCTGGGATTTTAACTTGTGTCTGTCTAACATAATAATGTATTTCTAAATTGTTTTACTTTTCTTTTCTGTAAATAACTGTTCGATCTCCTACAAAATGTTACTTTTAATTTTGAAAACGTAAACATGTATTTTATAATCTAAATAGACCAAAAACCAAGAAAATATTTTATGTGTTTGAGTGTTTTGCCTGCATATACATGCAGCATGTACATACCTGGTGGCTATCTGGAAGTCAGAAATGGAAGATGGTGTTAGATCCCGCGGAGCTTGGGTTGTGGGTGTCTGTAAGCCACCACATGGGTGTTGGGACTAGAACTTGGGTTCACTGCAAGAGCAACAAGAGCTTTTAACCACTGAGCCATGTCTCCAGATCTTCATATACATTTATTTATTTATGCGTGTGTGTGTGTGTGTGTGTACATGTCACAGAGCATGTATAGTGCTCAGAAGAAAACTTACAGAAGTCTGTTTTCTCCTTCCATCACAAAGCTCCAAGGAATCAAACCCAATTCATCAGATTTGAAGGCAGGCGTCTTTGCCAACTGAGACATCTCACTGGCCCAAAGGTTGATTTTGAAAAGTGAATAAAACTTGGTCTGAGGAGGTGGCTCAGTTGGTAACATGCCTGACACACAGCTTGAGGACCTTATTTTGGATCCCCTGCACCAACATAAGAGCCAAGTTTCAACAGGGGGTGTTGTAGGGTGGAGAGAGTTGGAACCTGGAGCTCACTGGCGAGCTCCAGGTTCAGTGAGAGACAGAAAGAGACTGAGGGAAACACCCAATGTTCACCTCTGACCTCCACATGCATAAGCTCATGTGCCCACATGAATAACATCTGAAGAAACATGTGTGCTTGCATACACTGCACACACATACACACACTACACATATACACTACACACACTACACACACACTGCACACACACACAATCTACACACACATGCACAAATACATTCACACACACACAATCTGATGCATAAACCAATTCCCTGCAAATGACTTCTCTCCTGACTCCATCATTTGAAGATGATGCCTGTGATTTGCAGTTATTTTAGTAAAATGTCATTCCCCTCCACTACTCTGTTATTGTATGAAAATGACTTGACAGAGGGAGGGAAAGGGTTGGTTTTAGTCTTAGAATTGAACTTCAAGTTGTAGATTCAACTCAGGACTTCTCATCTCTTCACTGTAGATAATTTTGAATTCAATGCATAAGTACCAGCCACGGGTGCATATCATAAAGAAGAAAGACCACACGGCCTCTCTGCTCAATCTGAAGTCTGAAGAATTCAGAACATTTATCTTTCCAGAGACAGTGTTCACAGCAGTTACAGCCTACCAGAACCAGCTGGTGAGTGGCCCTTTTGCATTTCGGTTCCTGCGCAAGGTGTTTTCCTGGTACTCAAAATAGAAGTTCCTTCAGAGAAAGTGACTGAATGTCAGCATCATAGCATCATGTCCCCAGGGGTCATGTATTGCATCAGCTTATCTTCCAGGACTTTGCTGTAGTGCAGAATGTCTGGTGAGATCCCTAACCTGAATCCACCCCAGTATGTCTTCTGCAGGGAACTCCTGCTCCTACTTTTTCCTCCCCTTGTAGAAGCATGGGTGATTTATTTTTTCAAATGCAAACCTTCACACAGCTGCCCAAATTACTAACTCTTAAGATACTTTGTGAGGCTAGCTTAGCCACAACTTAGTATAAGGAAAATGGTAGTGAACATCTCTTTAAATAATAAGCTTCAGTCTGGTATTTCATATCAACATACCCTGTTCACAACATCAGGTTGTATCTTCTACTACTCTCTGTCATACAACATACTTCCAAATTGAGCCTCATTTGCATGTATAAGATTTAGTCTTAGTAAATACTTTCCCATGTCCCACTAAGGCCAAGCGCTGTTAGGCACTTGCTCTAACGTTTTATTCTTTCTTGGTCAGTAGAATGCTGAAGGTTTGTAGCAACAGTGATGCTGACTGGTAAGGAAGCTGAGAGGAAGAAAGGGGGGGGGATTTCCTGTAGTCAAAAAAAAAAAAAAAAAAAAAAAAAAAAAAAAAGACAAAAAACAAAACAAAACAAAAAAAAGAGAAAACAAGCAGGAAGTAGAATTCTTTTGAGTGTACTTAGTAAAAAGTGTTCACACCTGCAGTTTATGTAACAACGAACTCTTCTTGCTTTTGTAAGTAGTTAGGATGCTTGCCTTCTTCTTGCCATGCTGTTGGTGTGTAGTGGGTTTGGAATAGATAACAATCAGGTGCTGCCCACTGGGTGAGGATCCAGCAAGGGTGGGTGAGGCAGAGGAGGATCAGAGACTCTAGAGAGGCAGGAGAGAGCTGGAAGCACAGGTAGTCCTGTGCAAATAAGAAAGTGGAAACAGGGCCAGAGAGATGGCTCAGTGGTTATTCCAGAGGTCCTGAGTCCTTTCCCAATAACCACATGGTGACTCATAACCATCTATAGTGGGATCTGATACCCTTTTCTGGAATCAAGGTTTATATAACAGGTAGAACACTCACATAAATAAATAAATAAACAAATAAATAAATAAATAAATAAAGTCTTAAAAAAGCAAGTGGAAACAGAAGACATACTTAAGAATGGCAAGAGTGGATGAAGAAGGCTCATGTATCTGTAATCCCTGTATGACTTTAAGGTTAATTTTATAAGTATCACTGCAATTTCCCTTACTAGTGCTAAGAACCAACCAGACTGCTGTTGGAGATTGCAGTGAAACTAAGATGTGATATTGTGTACAAACATGTAAACATGCCTTGAAAACTGATGCTGGACTGTTCAGGAATGCCAAGAATACTTATCCACACTTGGACTTTAAAATGTCAATGATTGTACCATGGAGATGGCTCAACAGGTCGAGACACTTGTGACCTGATGACCTGAGTCAGATCCCTAGAAACACACACACACACACACACACACACACACACACACACACACACACACACACATTTAGTTTATATTTTGAGCCTAGCCTTTAATGGCTGAGCCATCTCTCCAGCCCCATATACCTTTAAATAAATACCTGAAATTAAAATTTCGTTGGCGTGTTTGCTAAGATAAATCAATGCATATTTGTTATGTAAGTTACCTTATTATATAAACAAAGTATCATCCTATTTGTTCTCCAGAATAAACAAAGAATGAACAACATGAACAGAGAATAGACTAAAGTCCACAACACCCTAAAGCCCTGAAGACCCGGACCTTTGAAGGCCCAGGCTCACTTGTATTTGAAAGCACATGGATTTGGGTCTCACACGTTCAGAGAACTATTCAGCTCATTTATCCTGAGTGAATGTGTAATTTGATGATACAATGTTAGATTATAACACTTTAAGAAACTTTGCTGATGTTTGGGATGAAATTGAAACTTGTCCTATGAAAACTTCAATGCTGTTTACAGAATTCCCTTTTAAAAAGAGCAAAGCTAGAAAAAGTCAATTGCAAGTTTGTTTTCAAAAACTGAAGTTCAATAAGTTAGAACAAATGTGGAGGGATGAGTTCATGTGCAATACCTTAGATTTGTTTTAATAGATGAAGGAACCATCTTTAACATATATCAGCAGGCCTTCTGTCATAATGCATAGATTGCATAAGGATGGATAGAATTCGGGTGCTTGCTGTTGCAGCAAGTACCACTTAAAGGATTTTTTCTTATCTAATCTTTGCAGGAATATTATTAAATCAGAGAAAGTATTTTTATTGTGCAGTATACAGCTGGGGAAATAGAGGCATGAGTTAAATGAGCCACTGATGTTGGCTTGCTGTGCCCATCATGGATTTGAAGCAAGGCAGTTAGAGTGTTAGACCTCCAAGTTGAGCATCCTTCTCAGGGGGCAGAATGCTTTTCCTCTCATCTTCTGGCCCTGATGGACACCCAGACATCTTTGCCAGTGGGTTTTAAGTTACTCCCCTGACACAAAGTACTCATCTTTTGTCTGCTGTGTGGTGCTGTGTTCACACAATATATTGGTGAGTGTAATGTGAGGGTTACTATCCTCAACAGGAGGGCCGAGTGTCAACAGGGCTCACTTAAGTCAATAGATACCATGTGCATTAATGTGATTGTCTCATGGAATCATTTTTTTCACTAATCTATTTACTCTGAAAAACTTCAATGTCCAAAAGAAAGTCTTACTAACAAACAGTCAAATGAACCCCCTTAGCCTCCGCTCATATTTCACGATGAACTTTTACCAAGTTTGCTTTACTCTGTGCACCCCTCTTTTCCCTGTACTCTTCTGCCATTCCAAACTGAGATGCTGGTCTCATCAACTGAGGCTGACTGCAGCAAGCATGTTGCCACTGTGACGATATTATTGTTGTGCCCATATTGTCTGTGAAGCTCAGTTAGAAAGATCCCTTCACACTATACAGTAGCCAGCTCATTTAAATTTTAGTATTAACCACTAATGCCCATTGCGATTTCATTTCCTCCCATCTGTACTAAACTCCAACTAAAATTCATGGCCTAGGCTGGTTATTTTAATTTAGAAAAATCCTTCCACGTTTTTCTCAATAATCTTATTTCATTCTGACATTAATTCCCAGTGGAAGTCCCGTGACTGTCATTTTGTTGATAATGAAACTGAAGCTCCAAGTGGTTAGGACAGTCATCCAAGGCCACATATTTGATAAGTGACAAACCCATCAAGAAGGTTTGACCTTCTGGGTCCTAACTCCTCCTTTTTTGTTGGATTGCAAGGCCAATAAAGTAATGACTTCCAAGGTCAATAGTTTGAAAGCTGAATTTGGAAAAGTTACTATATTAAAAGAAGTTAAAATGCTAAGATGGATTCTAACCCTAATTACTCCTCTTACTAATGTTCATTTTTCCAATTGATAGTACAGGTGGGTTCAAAATTCAGTCACAAGAGCCCATCAAGCTTTGATCACATCATAAACTATAGGTTAATAGGACGAATAGACCATTTCACCACTGAAGAACCCACAATAAAAGCATCTTCCTCACTGGATCCATGAGTTTATTTCTGTAATCCACCTTTAATGCCATAATTAGCATAAAACCATCCATAAGTGTGGTTTAGTATAGCAGGGCAGTTGCTCTAATGGCTGATAGATTTGCTTCAGTGAATACAGGTCTCTTTAGAGATGAGTTCAGGAATTATCATTTTCAGTAGGTTGCATGATGTCTTCTTATTACCCTAACCTTCAGGCTTCCTGGAGTCAACTGCTTTATCACCTCCACTCTGCATGTATTAATTTACAGTAAACATAATAAGATAAATGATGCAAAGAAAATACATACTACATATAGCATCAACAAAAATTTTCCATGCATGAAGAACAAGGAAAGGAACAAGGGGGAAGATTAAAAGTTCCCATTTGGACCCATTTCCCTCTGTCCTAAACTTCTGATATGACTGTTATTTTCATGTCTGATATTTTCAAATCAAAGTTCCTCAAAGTGTGTGTGTGTGTGTGTGTGTGTGTGTGTGTGTGTGTGTGTGTGTTTGAACCTTCTTACTTATTGAGACAGGTAGTTTTATTTAGAATTAATGAAAATGGGACCTTTTTACCCATTTCTTCTTCTGCTTTTTGTAAGGGGATGATTGCATTTCTTTACATTATTAGATAAATGCTAAATACATTATACTTTCAACAAACTATTTTATAATTTAAGATGTAAAGGTCACGCATTGTTTTTGAGCCGGCAGATCATGGCTGTGGAGTTGAAGTGTAGGTCAGGTTTCATTTCTAAATGCCTTCGGTCAGATCTTTTTCTGATAATTGGAGAAATGGTCTCCAAGGGCCAATGTTACCTTATGGCTGGGGCCCCAGCTGGATCCAGAGTCTAGTGTTTTGACAGTGGATAAGAATAACAACCATTATAAAGTTGTCCTTCTCTGGCACAGCTGGTGGCATCAAAAATATGCCCTCTAATTGTGCATACAGTTACTTATAGATAATAAGAATGGCACAAAGAATGATGTTTCTGGTTAGCATGTACAGTACTCTCTGTAATTACAGTAAAAACATAAGTCTTTGCATGTATAAGATATACAAAGGACAGGATTTCTTTGGTGTATAGTACTGTTTTTATTTGTCAATACTTTCTTTTCACTAAGTGAAGAACATTGCTGCTTTTAAAAACTGATTTGTAGGAGTGGAGAGATGGCTTCTTGATCAAGAGCATGTACTTCTCTTGCAGAGAACTGGAGTTTAGTTCCAAGAATTCACATTTGGAATTTTTTCTTCTTGTTTGGTCTTTTGAGACAGGGTTTCTCTGTGTAACATCTCTGGCTGTCTTGGAACTAGTTCTGTAGACCAGGCTGGCCTGGAACTCACAGAGATCTGCCTGCTTCTGCCTCCCAGGTTCTGGGATTAAAGGCATGCACCACCACTACACAGCTACATCTGGAAATTTTCAATCACCTCTAATTCTAGTTCCAGAGGATCAGACTTCCTTTTCCAGTTCCTGCCAGCACTTACACACACGTGGTAAACATCAACTCACAATACACATAAAATACAAATAAATCTTTAAAAAACTGGTTTTTAATGATAAAAAAAATCTGTGCCTCTGGTTTTGGAAGGATAACACAGGGCAGCAGTTTTGCAGGGTGCAGCCTTCCTGTGCCAGAATTTGATTGAACAGGTTCAGGTGCAGTCATCACACTTAGCCACTCCCTCTCATCCATTCTTACCATTACCTCAAATTTTACAGAGGGTTATCAAACTACATCTTCAGAAACAGCTTTCCACTTTGAATTCAAATACTAATTCCTGACCTATTTATGATTTGTTGTTACTTAGAGTATAAAAATTTTATTATTTAAAATTTTTTCTATAGCCAGGTATAGTGGTATAAACCTTTAGTTATACCACTCAGAAGGCAGAGGCAGGTTGATCTTTGTGAGTTTGAAGCCAGCCTGGTCTATATAGTGAAAACAAAATAGAATGTTTTAAAGCAACACACAGTTAAACCTAGTCTGTAACATCATTAACTCATAATTTGGTGGCTTATTCTTAACATAAAGCTCAACAGACTTGTTTGGAGCTCCTGCTGTGGTTGTGTGCTGGGTTGGGAGTTGAGCTGAGTCACATAAGATGGACCCTCAAGTGTAACTACAATCTTTGTTGCGGTCTTCACTGGAGATAATGCAACCACAATCCCAGACCCACCCAGTTCTTTTCTCCTCTAATGCTCAAAACCAGTGATTTAGTCAAACTCATCCATAGAGAAAGAAAACACCAGGCAATTGTCTTGCATTCTTTTTCTAATGAATGTTCTAAATTAAATCATCACTGCACTTTATCAGTAGATCTAAATATACAGAGAACCATGCCCTATTACAGTGTTTCTGAAGCTTGAAATTATATCCAGATGTGGAAAAAAAAAGCTATCATTGACACTATCGAAGGTTATAAAAAAGTAACATTTGAAATATTAGTGGTAGATAATTATAATAATGAAACATAATTCAAAGAAATAAGGAAACTCATGCTGTACTTAATTCATTTCCAGGCATACAGTTATGGCAATAATTTTAGATCATGGACACATTAACTGACATCCATTTCTCTGCTTTTATCAGGGCACTTGCCTCATTTAAAGCCATTGAACTTTAACCTTTGGAAATATGAAAACTAAGTGCAAATTTTTCAAAATCATTCCCAGGACAAAGCAACCATCTTAACATAGACACTTCTTCCAGTTGCATAGTTTATCTGCAACCGTATAAAGCTTGCTGTGGTTGACATCAAAGAGAAAAGGCTTTAGGAACTTCTGATGTTACCCTCCATGTTAGACATACCATCTGCCATTATCTCCAGACAATTTTAAATATTAGTAAACCCAGTCACCTTTCAATTTTAGAGTGTGTTACTTAGAGCAAGATTTGCCTTTGTTGTTTGGTCACACAGTTAAACACTTTTGCTTGGAGTTGGGTTGCCTTTAATGTTGCTACCTTGCAGTGGACCCATGTCACCATGGCAAAGGTCTCTCCACAGTGCATCTCTGTACTTGCTCCATAGAGCTTCAGGGTCTGTCAAGGCTGACAGAGTGTTCTGTATCCAGTGTTACCCTGTACCAAAGCTATTGCACAGGTTCTGGCTAGAGATTGCTTGCCCCAACATTTCAGGAGCCTTAAGACATGCCAGCATCATAGATTATTTTAAACTACAATTGCTGAGCAGAAACAAGGGCATCATTCTCCTTGAAGACTTTGAAATCTTGCTGGGACTTAGAATCTTAAATCATACTGGTTGTCTAGTCTTTAAAAGATTTTTTCATAATTTATGTAGAATAAACAGTATTCTTCTTGAAAGCTGATGTTCAGATAGATTCAAGTTCAAGTCTGAATGACTGGTTGAACAACAGGTCTTCAGAAGGGGCAGCCATGCATTTGAAGAGATTTTGCTGAAGCGTTGGATGTGCATACTGTAGAGGCCACTTGGCTCTCTGAACATTTCAGTTGTTGCTTTTCATTGTGAACGGGTCTTATTGTCTAGCACATTTCCATAATTTTGCTGAAAAGGAACTTCATTACCAGTTTGCTGCTCTCATGGGGATGTTCTGAGCAGTTTCCCTCAAGGCTCGTAATAGTCAGGCTCCTTCCATGGCCTGCCAGTGCTGGAGATAGAGAAGAATGCCACCTGGTTGATGGAGGGCATGTTAAGGGAGGTAAAAGCTTCTTTGCAGCCTTGTAAAAGTAGTTCACGTTGAGAATATTTCTTCATGGTGAAAAGAGAAACTCAAGGCATTGAACTTTGGGTACAGCCTGATTATTATTATTATTATTTGCTTCAAAATAGTATTTGTTATAAACTCTGTTTTATAAACAAGCAATATAGTTATTTTTATACATTTTATAATTATCATATAAAACTCTGTTTTAATTGTTTTCTCTTTAGTGTGAAACAGGAGGGTCTCCCCACACCCAATAACTCCCTTTTCCCTGCCCAGAATATTTTGTGTGTCTCCCTCCAAAGATAAACTTGTTTTCCACGTTTGGTCTTACAAGTTAAGACTCTCTTGAAAGACTTTCTTGTTGGCAGTTCAGTTAGGAACAGGCTGTCCTCGGGCCCATGCACTCCATGTGCCTCAGTGTGACTGCTTATCAGATGACGGCGCAGGCTTGCTTTTCTGTGAAGCCCCTTTCAGTGTTCACAGGGGTCTCTATTCTGAGTTTCTTCTTATCAGTGCTTCTTTAACAGCCTGGTATAGTTTCCTCAGAGGCATGGCACACAAGCTGTGTAAATAGCAATACTATAAGGTTTATAAGTACCACAATGTAGACACTAAATGTAGGAGAGTGATTCTTACTAGAAAGTAATTGTTTCTACATAGTTACACAAATGACATTAAAATAAGACTGACTAACTTAGTCAAACAAGAAGGATAATGGTAGTAAATGTATATTCTGACGGCTTCATATCCTGTATTTATGTAAAAGATGTCAGTATCAGTACAGTATTTAACATGGGCTTTATTGGCCATTGAATCTTATCTGTTACAACATATATTCATCTGCTCAAAGAGTTAAGAGATGCTTCCAAGTCAGGACGAGACAGTGTCTTTGCTTTCATTCTTCCCTTTCCTACAACACACGTTCTACACACTTCTCCCTTACATCTAGGTAGTTCCTCCTTCCCCAGTTGTGCCCTGGCCTTTTCTTAGCATTTTAAATACTTCACAATTTAGTTTCATGTCCACCTTTGCCAGAAAGGCCACCAAACCTTTGCTACCTCAGACGTGGCCCAGTACACCTGTGAAGTTGTCCCTTAGTCAGACCACTTCTCATGATGCTTACAGACATCACTGCATTACTGAGGTCTGTGGGAAATGAAAAAAACAAATAAACAAAACAACAAAAACAAAAAACAAAACATATTTCTGCTTCTGCTTCTTTGACCTTGGAAATGAGATTGTTTTGTACCCATTCTTTCTTTCCCAGATAACCAAGCTGAAAATAGACAGCAATCCGTTTGCCAAAGGGTTCCGGGACTCCTCCAGGCTCACTGACATTGAGAGGTAATGAGAATTTTCTGCTTGCTCTTCTGTCCAGATAAGATAAAAGAGTGGGTTGTAAGAACATGTACCTTTTAGCGCCAATGAAGCATGGTCTCACAGTACGTAGTTTCCGTTGTCTCTATATCTTCTCTTCCAACAATAAAACTTGTTGTTGTACAGCTTTTACATCTTGAAGTTAGCTGCTGCTGGATCTCTCAAATGCTTGATTCCCCAGCAAAGAGGTTTATTTGATATGAACACACATTCTGCTATAAAACATTGGGTTTTGTGACCAGAAAGTGGGTCCTAGTTACAACTGAACACGGCAGGGAGGACACTTTATAATGGTTTGTGTTCAGAAGGGAATGCATTTGATAACACAAAGAATAGAGGGGTGATTTGAAATTTTGAAACAAGGTGTCATTTAATTAAAAAAAATACACAATTTTATCTGTAAACTAGACTGCTGTTTTTAATAGGAGTAATAAATATCAAGTTTGAGGACCTGTAAGAAGACAAGAAACAGTCATGCATGTGAAACTAACCCCCTTCACAATGACAGTTGTTCATTGTCACCTGAGACCTTTGAGTGATTGATAGCCATACCTATTAGCCCATTGTGAATGATGAAATGCATTTTTCAAGAAGATTCTGACTATACACAGTAGATTTCTGTCCTTCATCTTTATACTAGGTCTGATATGTTTGCTGTTGGGTGGAACACCACAAAGCTACCAGCCCCACATGCACTGTACCTTAATATCCTGTGCAACTCTCCTGTCAACTGCCACACCTCTCTGCTTTTCTGTTTATTCCCTATGACTTGGGCACATCTGACCTCGGCATTTCGGTCCTGCCTGTCTTAGCAACTCAAATGAAAGGTTAATTATGTTTTATCAACTTCTAATTCTTCTGTCTGATTCTTCTTAAACCTGTCAAAGTGGCAGATCATTGAGTGATGATATAATTGGAGGGAATGATTGTAGAGGCTGTGTAGGAAGCCAGAGAGTTTGAGTGAAAAAGAAAGACTAATTGCTGGAGAGTCTGTGCAGTCAGGGATGAACCTGAACTTTGGGCTCTGGATGGACATCTATTGCCCAAGTCTCAGAGAGTAGGTTGGTTAGAGAATTGTGGATGGTGACATTTACAAAAGTATACTATAAACTTAAAGAGCAGAAATTTACTGAGTCATCCTAGACGAGCCTTGCATGTAACGCTTTAGACCCTATCTGAGTAACTTTGAATGATCTCTGTGAACTGATGGTAGAGTAAAAATAGCCCTTATGAGATAGGAGCCCAGCCTGGTTGCCCTTTAGAACAGCAGATTTGATAATGCATGTGGCCACATTTTCCACTTATTGAATAATCCTTCTGATGTGGGAGCACTCACTTGTATGTGAAGCTAAGTGGCTTGCGATGGTCCTGAGGCCAAGAGAGCACTCTGATGTGACTAGCTGAAAGTTTGCAAGATGACCTAAGTGGTGTGAAACTGGCCAAGGTTTTGGATTTCATTTCCAGGTATTTAAGTCTGAATTTTTCCTAAATAGCCTTTGGGGATGAGACAAATCAGATCAATTGATCTTTAGAGACCTAAAGAAATTAAATTAGTCTGGAGTCAGTTACTGCACTAAACCATGTAGTAATTGAATTGTTCCTTGTAACTGATTGAAAACAGCCCTATCTGTAACAATCCTTGGAGCTTTGCTTCATAAGAGATCTGAGAGGAAAACACATTTTTTTATGACATGATGACAGATATTGCATTTTTCTAACCTAACTGAATATGATGTAATAAACGTGACTTTAATGATTTCAAGTTTCCTGTTCTAGATTTATAACTTACTGTGTGGGACAACCAAACCAAAATACCTTCAGGATGGGACCTGTGTGCTGAGACCTCAATGTGGCCCTTTCATAACTGTCAGCACCGTGTGCTTCATGAAGCATCATGGTTGTCCTGGGTCTGTTTGTAACAGGCTCTACCTAGTTGTATGTGTTCTATCTGCCCTTTGTGTGCAGCCTCATTGTGCAAGGTCAGAGTACTGACGTGCAAAAGAAAACTCATTTCTTTACCAGGAGTAGAAGCACACGGGCCAGCTAGAAGCACCCTAAAAAAATCCAAAAGGGTGACTTCATACAAATGAATTTCTAGCCATTTAAACCAGGGCAAGGGTTGTTACTGGTTCAATGTAGTAAGTAGTTTAGGACAGCCTGTGGGTATTTGCCCTTCCCTCTCTTTTGGCGTGGCTTCATAAAAACACAAAAGCTCAGTGCCACTTCTGAGGAAGGGAAGATAACTGGAAAGGATTTAGGATATTTTCTTCTAAATGAAGTGATTTTGTTAGTCCCCTACTTTGACCAATCGTTACTGCTCAACTGTAGAAATAGAAAAAGTAACCGTCGACAAGGAAAGAGCACAAAGGCGCCAGCGGGCTTCAGTCCCTGTGCATTCTCCCGGGTTTTCCGGTGAGGACATCAGTCACCAAGTGCTACTGTTAACCATTCCCCCTGTAGATGTATTTACCTTATAATGTTTTAATGGTTGTCTTAATTTTTTAACTTTCTACCACAATTTTAGTTAGTTAGGGTCTTTATTGTTTTCTCATTATGAATAATGCCAGGGAGAAAATGTATTTTTTTACATGCATTCTTGATTATGTTTATAGGATAAATAATCACAGATAAAAATCCTGAGTGCAAGCATGTACTTTTACTTATTTTTCTGCTATAGTGCTATTTTTATGTTAATTTTTTTGGGGGTGACTTAAGTGTTCAGCAATAGGAAATGACTTAATAAACTTTACAATTACATGATTTAGAAAACAATATTCTAATATATAAAATTCAAAATACCATTGTAATCATTTTTGAGTATTATATTCTGTGACATTAAGTAAATTCATGATGTCATGCAAGCATCAACTCTATTCTTTTCCAGAATGTTCTCAGCATCACAAAGAGATGGCTATGCTTGGCCCCCATTCCCTTTTTTCGCTTTCCAGACCATGCCCTTGATAATCTCCATTTTACCATTTGTTTGTGTGAACTGCCTAATTAAATATCTTTTGTAAGTGGATAGGTACATGTTCTCAAATATGTTTAACACACAGCCAGGATTTTCTAAGAAAGATCAACTTGGCATTTAAAAAAAAGGAAGAGAGATTGACTGCTCTGTCCAAAACGGTGGTTATCATTTCATTTTTGCTAATATGATAGGATAAATACTAATTTTTTAGCTCCTTTTTTTGCATTGTCTGTATCTTACCAACCTATGAAAAACCATTTATGTGCCATGAACACCCTGACAAAGCCTTTAAGGAAGAATGGGGTTGTTTTAGCTTGCTGTTCAAGGTCCAGTCTATTATGGCAGGAATCAGGACAGCAGGAACCTGAGGTGTTGTCACATCAAGTCTAGTACCAGGAAGCAGAGAGGGATAGATGGTTGCTTCTGCTCAGTTCCCTTCTCTATTGATGCAGTCCAGGGTCTCAGCTGTGGAACAGTGACAGCCACAGGATGTGGATCTTCCCACATCAGTTAATACAGCCAACTCCTTCAACGCCCTGGAGATTCTTTATTCACCAGGTTACTGTTAACATGAATCATCACATTTCCTTCTAGTTTACTATTACATTTTGACTCATTCAAATATTTGTTTTGATATGATGTAAAATAGACATATCACTTTATATTTTCCCATGCCATAAATTACTTGTATATCAATTTTTTACTTACTTATGAGTCTCCCTTGTTGTTTACCTTGTTCTTATCTACTCTAGGTCTTTCAGTCTTTCCAGCTGCTGCTCTTATTCTTTGATAGATTGATAACATATGTAAATACTTGAGTGCGTGAGATGTCAAATCTCCATTTCTTGCTGTTTTAAGACTTTCTTGATGTACTTTGATGCATCGGCACACAGTCTCAGAATCATTTGGCAAATCTTCCTCCAAAATATCATAGGGATTTTGACTTTGTTTTCGATGAATTTATATACAAGTTTTCAGGAGAAAAATTAATGTGATTATAATATAAAAATTAGCTTTCAGGACTACTTATGTTTATCTTTAACAAAGTGCTCTCTTAAACTGAAAGACATTTCAATATTTCCAGGTTTTTAAATCCCACATTTATGCTTTTTAGACACAAACCTGGCTCTATGAAGCTGCAACATTCAGGGCAGCCTCTACTGGGTCAAGGTAGCTAGGGAAAATTTGAAGGGAGACTATCCCAATCCTGAATTTACAAACAAAAGTAAAAGGACCCCCCCCCAATCCATCTGAACTTTTAAAACCTTAGTAAACAAAATGAAAAGATCTTATTAATAGTTTAACATATTCATTAGATATTAAACTATTTTGGGTTGTTGGATTAAATAAATATGTTTTATTGCTTATTTATGCAGCCACTAGAATTACATATGTGGCTAGCATTTCATTCCACTAGAAAATACTATACTAAAGAATTTTTATGATATATAGTGCTTGCTGTGGTAAGTCAAATTTTAAATTAGAAAGCTGACTGGTCTTGTCTATAAACAATGATCAAATCCCCCATATCTTTTGCATTTTGCCATTGTAGTGAACACGAAAAGTTTCGTAAATTCTAACATTTGTCGATTTTCTCTGCAAGAGACAATAATTTCTCTTTGATAGTTATATATTTTCAACAGTCTCTTTCTTTATGGCAATGACTAAAGTACATTATTAACAAATAAAGTCTCTGGCATGCTTTTCTTTCTTCCTTCCATCATAGGGCTTCTTTTGTCTTACTGTGTGTAGATTCTGCTGGCTTGTTTCAGATGGGTGTTCTTTATTACACAAACCCAGTGAGCACTGATGCCTGGATGAGAAGTTCCTATTAAGCCAATGCTGATTGAGCTTATATTCAATGCTCTTTTAGAATCTGTTGAGTTAATTTGAAATTATTTTTCTAATTTTACATAATGATATGATTTATTATTCTCGTATTGTCTGGTGAACCATCATCTAAATTCTGGAATAATCCCCATCTGGATTTTATGTT